CTGTTGTCAGTCTCTGCAAAAACATTTTGCAAATAAAAGGCAATCACGAGCGCAATGTAACTATTTGTAGCAGATGACAAAAGGATGATTATGTTTTTGCAGGTGCGATCTCTGTCTGGCATATAGTGCAATTAGCAGTAGAAATTTGCGTACGTTAGGTCTGTAGGTATCTGTAACTGTGCTTTTAACGTAATCTTAAAACAGCTGTGAATTGGAAATATAGAGTTTAGCATGAAATACTGTTACGATGAATAAGCAGGATTTTACGTGTATCCAAAAATATCACTGAAACTGTTCAACGAAGTCACCTTATCAGAAGGTGAATAGTATTTTAAAATTTAAAAAAAAGTACGATTTACATCTAAGAAAGAAACAAAACAGTGAGAAAGAATCCATATGGGGATGAATTCTTTCCAAAGGCCATCACAGGACTTTATTCACAACTAGTTTAAATTTAATTCGAATTACTGAGCTTAATCGAATTAGTTAAGTAACTTTCCTCTGCTACGACTTCAAGGAAGTGGGGGTACTAGCAAGTTACTCTCACTATCTTTCAATCGATTTCAAATTTATATGGAAATCTTAGAAATATACATTTTTTTTCATTTCTGAGTCCAATAAAACTTAATAATACATTGTGAGGAAATTCACGCTATTTCTTATGGGTATTTTACAAATAGTTAATTCATAGCGACACATTATTTTTTCAATGCTTCTTTTAATTCTCTCTCAGATTCCGGCTGCAATGAGCCTCAAAATGAACCAATTCTTCTGAGAATTCCTCTAATAAATTTTTAAAATTATCCACTCCTCGAAATCCTTTAAAACACTTCGATTGATGCCTTTTAATTTCTCACATGGTTATAGAATCTAAGCGGTTATGCAACTTTTATGTGAGCTTTGTTAGAAAAGGTAGGAATAGAAAGATCAATCCAGCTGGACTGGAGGGCGACGAGACTGAGCGAGTAGGGAGATGTTTACTGCCTAGTCGATGCTCACGCGGTCTGCAGTCCCTATCGACAACAACAGCATGTTTTGCAACAAAAAAATTACAAAAACATTTAACCGGCTTCGTTATTATAACCTATAACAACTATGCATTTTAGCGATCTATACGGCAGATTCAAATATCACAACGTAAGAGATTTTTTTAAAAATTATCAGAAGACATGCATCTTATGAGTGAGGCAGATGAATGAACCGAGGTTGGTGAACAAAAGGGTTTTTCCATAGCGAGTGGTTCCTATTTCTGTTCTTTCAAAAATTGATACACAATGCCAAAGTCCTTATTGGAATATTTGGGATCTTGAGCGAGAAGTCGATAAATTTGATGAGCCAGTGATCCAAGTGGGGTCGGCGACTGGGTTGTTGTTGCTGCATTCTGCGCCAATGAGAGGTCCTAAATAGTAACAGCTGGAAAAATAGTAAACAAGCT